AAAATGGGAAAACCTGTATTTTCCAGAAGGCCTAGAAACACCCGAAATCCGATCACTGCATGATATTGAAATGGAATATTGTTATTGTGAGTAATTATTTGTACTTCTTGGGTTCTCCCAGTGGGCTGCATACTCTCTTAGTACACAGACAGGGCACCTGTGGCCCTGCAGGTGTGGTTGGTCTACAACCCCCATCATTCTTGACGATTGAATCGTGCCAGCTGGCTCTGCTGCCAATTGATGACTGACTAGCTCTAGAGTCAAACCATAGAGATCCCCTCCTCCTGCTAGCTAGTTCTTCTTCACCTGTGTTTCTTGCAGCTTGGATTTTGCCTTCCCTAAGGTTTTGTTATAGCCGCCCCTTTTCAGAGGTTCAGTGAATGCATGGAGTGGGGTGGGGCTGGCAGGCCCACCGTGCCTCCTCCTGCCCTACAGAGCCCACGTGTTCTTTGCTTGCACCAGGCTCGGATCTTGCCTGCGAACTCCAACTAAGTGCCGATCAGCTACTGACATGACCGGTTCTTTTTCTCCTGGCACTGGCGAGGAACACCCCTTTGCTCATGGTGGCTCAGCTAGATCAGCTGCGGGATTTATCTTGCTAAATGTGTAAGGAAAAAGGGGAATGAGTGGCATTTTCACCACCTGCCCTGGCTGGCTCCTCCTGTGGGTTCTGAGCTCAGAGCTTGCTTGCCGAGGAGCAGATCTTCCTTGGCACTGTGGATTCACCTAAAACACTTGAACTTTCAGTCATTGCAAGATCTGGTCGCCCTGTGATTGCATCTAGTCACAACAGTTGTAGAAACAGGCAATCAGTTTGATAGAGGGGTTAAATCACCTTTTCTTTAAGCAAAAAGTTAGCACATTTGGGTCTTTTTGCTTTAGAAAAAATGGCAGTGCTGGGGGAACCATAGAGGTTGATGCAATGATGCAAGGTGTAGAAAAAGTGGATAGAGAAAGGTATTGCCTCACACACACCCAGGTGATAATAGAGCTTTACGTCATTTGGTGAAAGAGTCTGGGATGAACTTCCGCAGAAACAGGATGCATGCTGCTTTTTCACACAGCACTGGATTAATCTATGGCACTCCCTGCTAGCAGGGGTGGTGGCAGCCCCCAGCTGTGATTGCAAGGGGATGTGCAAGGGGTTTTCAACCGTTCATCCAGCAAATGGAGTGCCCGTCTTCAGAGGAAGAGGCCGCTGAATACCAGGAGGTGGAGTGGGCAGCCTTGCCTGCAGTACAAGCTGGTAGGCTCTCTGGCGTCCATAGCCTGAGGTGCACAGTAAGAGCTTTCCTAGTAGGATTGGGCCGTCCTAAGTACTGATAGACCCTGTGAGACAAGGGAAGGTTCACGGGCAGGTAGCCCTCCCTTAATAATGGCAGGCATGAAAGGGCCATCGCAGTTCTAGCATCAGCTCAGACCCGACCTTTCTCAGAGGAATTGGCGTACCCATTCAGCTGCCGGGTATACGGTATTCTGATCAAGAGAAGTAAGCGGGCCGTACAAAGTGCCTGGGGCTTGGGGCAGAGGCACAAAACATTCCCTGAACACACACATCAAATGCTGCTCTTTTGCTGCTGCCCCATGAATCAGGCTGTGGTGCCCGTTGGATGATGCCGCAAGGCCGCCTGGTTTCTCGGCTCTCCAATCTCAGGCCTCGTGTCACGGTAACACAAAACTAAGTCAGAGCGAAGGTGAGGCTTGCCCGCTCTGATGAGGATGGCCGGCACGATGCGAAGCCTGCTTTCTTTGCAACCTCCCTCCCTGACACGCACCAAACCGGGAATTTTCAGCATACCAGGCTCTGCTACAGAAGTCAAGAGTTGCACAGGCCTTTGCATCGCTTCTGCTTGGGCAAGAGCATGGTCCATTCCTCCTTTGCCGACATCTGCTTTACAACAATCCCTCGCTGAGCAAGACTGTGTCTCGCTTTTATTTGCTTCTGAAACCACTTGAGCATCCCCAAGGCGAGATATGGCAACCTGAGATCTCAAATTCAGCTCCTTCAGTAACAATAATCCAAGAAATGTCGTTGAAACTTTCTTCCCCCTGCCCGCCCACTCTCTCTTGCACACACACACAAACACACACACAAGCAATATTGTCTCCACAGAGAAGGCAAAGCAAGTAAATTTGTCTCCTCATTTCTGAAACCTGTTTGGACTGTGGACAGATGTCTCTATAGAGTCTTTATCAAGAAGTGGGCTAAAATGGTAATTAACCCCGCAAGCATCACCAGCAGTGCAAATGAAGCAAAATGCTAGTTAGCAAGATACATTCAGAGCGCAGAACTGGCTTTGTTAACTGCACACTGTGGTTTAGAGGAGGGTTGGCACAGAACACCCACCACGCGTGAAACTGAGGCACACATCAATGTCTTTATTCAAGCACAGGCCTTAAGGGTGTGGGATTCTGCTTGGGAAACAGCACCTTCAGTTCCAGGGGAGTGGTCTGTCTTTTTTCCTGCCCTTCCTCCTTTGGCATAGAATAGGAGTGAACTCTGTTTAACACTGTATTCTGCTGGCCACCCCCTGTTTGCCGCATGCCATCAATCTAGGAAGACTTGAATGCTGCATTCTGTGAATTGTCAGAAGGCGCCAGTAAGTTTCATACATTAAAAAGAAAAAAGAAAAGAAAAAAAGCTTTGTTAACAGTAAGGCTTGTTGTTCTTCCAGCCTGGCCACCCAGAAATAACTTCAACCATTGGACTGCTTTCAAGAAGCATCGTCCTCCTTGTCAGAACGAGAGGCTGAGCAAGCAGGATCGCCACGGATTCCAAGTTCTCCCCCGTCAGGCAATCTGAAATTGTGGCCAGGCCCTCAGCGAAAAGGAAAACGCTTTCCCGGGGTCAGACGGAGCGGCTGTCTGGACCAGCATCCTCTCGGTGAAAGTGATGGCCTTTTCTCTGTCATTTGGCTCCTAGCATCTCGCTCTTTGCTGTCACGGTCAATCATCGTTGATTGACCTACTCTGCAAAGAAGTCTGATCCTTTTCCCACCCCCAAATGGTTCGCTTTGGCCACACACCCCAGCCAGAGCGCCCGCCAGTTCAATACACATGGATAAAGCTTCCTTCGGTTGTTGTGCAGAACCTGCACCCATAGAAGCCGATCTCCACGGCCCTTCTGCGATTCCTGCCCCCCAAAATGCACATCTGGACTCTGCACCTCACTCCCTGCTTGCGTTCTTCCTTCACAGAAGACATCTTAATCGGCAGCCCACACTGAAATATAAACAGTGCTTCATGCCAGAGTGTAAGGTTAATTCAATTTTGGAGCATTATTCGCAGAACACCACACAATTCTTGATGCTAATTTCCTCAGGTAATTGAACTGCTATCTTTGCCTGGGGCTTCTCCGTATCAAATTCAGCTGCCCCTTCATGATTTTATTCAAAAGGTCTGGGAGGATGCGGTGCAGAACTGGCCTGAAACCGGCAGGGCTGAATCACAAATCTGCCTTGCAGACGCCCTTCTTGAACTTCTCATATGTTCGGGCAAAGAACTGCCACATTCTCTGGCATCTAGTGATGTGGAAGAAATGTTTGGCTTACATCGTAATGTGAACTGCCCGAATTTGGCACTTCTGAACCAAAACGCAATTATCCACTTCTCTGAATCTTGTCACAGATTTCTCCAATCAAAAATGTTTTTACAATGCATGCATTAGTGAAAATAAGGATCAAAACGCATTATATTAGGGAGCTAGCTTGCCAAAAAATGTACATGGTAAGCCACTTGTATACACATATGCATATATTAGGAGAAACAAACACAAAAATACTCAAGTCTTTCAGGTGAATAAAGAACAGTTCACAAAGTTCAGGACAAAACCCCAAGAAACTGCCATGGGTATATTCATCCATTCCTGCTGATACCCCTCTGGGGGAACTTTGCTACATCTCGAAACTTTTCCTTTTCCTCAAAGACTCAGATGCTTTGGCCAAGGTGCAACCTAGGAATTCAAAAGTGACTCTAACAGATGCTAAGTGGGCAGCAAAGGAAAGGTATAAAAAGGATTCGAAGGAGAAAATTTGGGTTAAATTTTACTTGTGGCAGGAGAAATAGGTCGTGTATAACTCTGCCTGTGGAGAGGAGATCCTACGTCATTTCGCCTATGCCTGGGATCGGGATCGGCATACATTCTCAAACCTATGGGAAGCCGTGCTGGGATGGGGTGTTGTGTGGAAGACATCACTAGCATTCCCAAAAGGTGTTCTGGCTCCGCTGGCCATGCTCATTTTGGCAGCGAGGGAGAGAGGGTGGTAAAAGCAGTAAACAAGCATGCACCGGTTTCTGAGTGTTCTTCCCATGTTCAGATGAGATTAGCCTCTTTCCAGCTCCACCCAAAAGCAACACCCAGTGCACTTCCAGAGAAAGCATGCAGAGCGCAAGCTCCCTGCAGTGTTTGACGGCACGGAGCATGTCCAAAGTGCTCGTTTCCCCTCTCTAGGATCTCTTGGCAGTGCCAGGAAAGTCCCTGGTCTGAAACCCTAGACAACCATTGCCAGGCAGTATGAAGGAAGGCAGCCCCCCCCCCCCGCCCGCTTCCCTGCCAGCACGTCAAAGGCCAAGGCAGACCAGCACCAGAGGAACCAATGGCCCCAACGCACTCGGTTCTTTTTTGCAACAGGATTAAGACAAGGCAGGTTCTTCCCTGCAGGGGACAGCTGCATTTTTAAAACCACGAAGCACCTCTCCCGTGCAACCAGTTCTTTAACTGGATATTGATGCCTATGCATTATCTAGCTTGCCTCGCACCCCAGGAAGGGGGCGTCCTTCACCCCAGTTCTGCCTTCGCTCCGCTGCTGCAGACACAAAGGATAAGCGGGCAGAGCTGGGCGGCAAGAAGCAAAGAAAGGAATCTTGCAGCAACTTCCGCGGGGCCTCGGAAGGTCTTCACAGGGGCACAAATTCAATCTTCATTAACCTTCCACCCCGCAAGCCCTGCCCACCAGCCCACAACTTCACCCCAGAGTCATGAAGAAGTACAGAGAGCTGTATTTCCAAAGCAAAAGTTGTTTTTATTGACAGTGTAATGAAATTTTCTTCATATCACTTGGATGAAATGAGAGACAGCAGTGTGTGGGCAGATAACGCTTTGTTGGTTGGATTTTTTTTTTTAACTACAAATAAAAACGGAGGAAGAGAGAGATAAAAATAAAAGCATTTTAACTTGTACCTTTAAGCAACTTAAGCACAATATATACACAAAGAAAGCAAACAAAGCTGTTGAAACCAAAGTGTTTCAATCAATAGAGAATTACAGATTGTGTCAATAAATACCAAGTTTTATTTTTGTTTGTTTTTAAAGAAAAACTGCCTGAACAGGGCAACATTTTATACAAGATACAGAAAGGGGGAAAATATTTTTTGTATATATATTTACAATTCAGTGCACCCAGGGGGGTGAGGAAGGAATGCTTGGCACCAGCATAAAGTGAATCAAATCAAGGGGAACAATGAAGGCTGGAGATAATTTTTCCTCCCCGTCTCCCAATATTCGTTTTAAAACAACGTATATAAACATATACGCAGAGAAACATAGGAATGTTCTAAGAACTGTTGCTTTAGTGCCCCCCCCCAAATTTCAAAACAGTACCAAACATATTTTAAAGCAATATTTAATATAGGCTAAATAAAAATTACCAATTAAATAAAAACAGGGATATAGATCTATATTTTAAAGTTAAATACTTTTTCTTTTTAATTGCTCACAGAGGAATTGCCCTTTTGCACTGGATGCTGCATTGTTCTGGAGAGATGTTCTTTTAACTACACTTTTAAAAAGAGATTTCTTTGCATAGACCAGAAGGGGCAAAGTCTTCCCAAAGGGTTCCAGTGTGTAAGAAATGCTGGGTACTTTGTGGAAAAGTTAAAGTGAAACTTTATCATCTAAGACATGCAAGGATGCCCATTTTCTCCTCGCCAAAACAGTCCTGTGGTCCAGTCTAGCCCAACTGCACTGGAAGGGTCTATCCAGCCATCAAGCCAACCAAAACAATCCATCTCTTCTTGCCGAAGGGAATTCTGTGAGAGATGGCCACCTGTTACACCTTCTGATTATTAATTCCGTTTCAGCTGTTCCAAGTAGCTTCTCTGATTTTTGAGAGTGGCAGTTCAAGGGGGAGAGAGGGTTGTGATTCAGTCCAGACACCACCAGGTGGGTGCGAACATGTTGTGCCCCTAGATGTTTCACGGAAATGAGCGCTGAGCAGAGCTGGAGTGGGGGCCGGGGGTGCACAGATTCTGCTCAAGGTTGCTTCCCTCAAAGGACGTAAGCTGCCCAATAATAGCAACTACAATCTACCCAGCTACTTTTCAGAAGCGGCTATTGCTCGATTGAAGGATCACAGAGACAGAGCATCTGAAACAAACAGACTGGATCAATACACATTGCACAGGCCTCATGTACTAACCACATGACAGTGAGCATTATGGGCATTGTAGTCACATCTGTAATGCACTGCCTTTGGGAAGCCTGAACTAGATGTTCATCTTAACCAATTACTTATAAGTCGATATATATTTGTGACCTTTTAGATTTCAATAGTAATATAAAAGCAAAAATGAGAAATGTGCCATGATTTGTGTACCTTCTATAAATAACTTCCTTTGGCCAGTGTCTGGTTTGGATTTCTCTCTCTCCCTTTAATAAAACACCCTTTCCACTTCCAAGAACAGAGAAGCACTTAGACCTGGGCTCTTCTGTGTATCAAGGTACCATAAATAGATTAGATCTGTTCTGTAAAGATCTCATGGCCAAGTCCTTCGGTAAATTAAATAAATTAGAAAATAATTTACAACACAATGTAACCTTTGTTCTTTTTTAAATAATTCATACCATTTCTTTTCTCTTTTTTTCTTAATAGTTTAAGGTTTTATTACTCACCCACAGTAGAATCATGGACAGCACACACACAGCTACAAGTCTTATACAAGAATGGAATGGTACAAACCAAGATTCATTTATTCTCTTGAATCATAACAACACACAGCCCATCTCCTGAAACTGAAGCACAGGAGTTCTCGACAGATGCAGGACTGCTTGGAAGAACGGAGCGTGCCTTTTCGCTTTGCTGCAGCGTTGGAATGCCCCACACTTTGGCTGCCCAAGGCTCAAATGTTCTTCTTAGCCATGGCTGTGAGTTCCCGTAAGGGCGAGCCCTCTTACTGCATGACGCCTCACCGTCAGAGACAGGATGCGGGGCTGCCCATATGCAAGAAAGAAGACCATGGAGAGGCCCGTAACGCTCCATCATGGCCTGCCTCTGCTCTGCACAGCTGAACAGATTCAGAATCAGTTCAGCAGACCCCGTCCCCCGTGAGGACCCTCTGCAGTGGGGGCTTCTCAACCCCTTTCTGAGACTGCACGGTCTGTCCGCAAGGTTCTCTTGCAGAATCCAAGGGAACGAAACAGGATTTTAAGCTTGTAGTGTAGATGTACGGCTTAAGCAGAAGACGGACGACCAAATGCCTTTGGTCACCTTGAAAGTGATTTCTTGGTTTTTCAGCCAAAAGAAAATAAAAACAAAAACAAATAGGGCACCCAACACAGAACAGCCTTTAAGCCCCGGGTTGCCGAGGACGTGACCTCATTTTCAGGTCCTTGGCCAACACTCAGTGCTACTCAGGTATGAAAAAGGAACAAATAAATAAATACAGATATATTATGCAAAAAATATGATTGTACACATAATACATCTGAGGTATTACTAATTTAAATAAGTTCTCTTGCTCAGTTCAAGCTTCGGTGGCTACTTAAAATTGCAATTTTGCAATAAATAAGAGGATGGGGGAAAGATGTCTCTAGAATAGTGTATGGGCCTCTTTTTTCTGTAAACGTTTTCCCATGTAAGCAAGAGCTTGCTTTTTGAGCAAATGAATGCCACAATAAATATAATTACAAATATAATTCCCAAAGTCGTTTGAAAAAATTATCTGCTAACATTTGAAAATGTTTGCAGAAGGTGCTCTGTGGGTGATCCGCCGTGTTAAAACACAAGGAATACTTTTCACAAGGTCTCCCTCCCCCAACCCCATACAAAAGCAAGGAAATTGTGTTTATTTTGCAAAAGTTTTCTTCTGTTTTTGCCCACCCTCCCCACCCCTCCCATGCCAGGAAAAGGCCAATATTTTTGCACAAGCAGTAAGAAAACTGATTGTAGCTGCAGTTCCCCCGACCCCACTGCCCAAAGTGTCCAAAAGGAGCAAAACTTTAAATTTGCTCAGTTAGAGCTGTCACATTTCTGCCTCTTACAAGGAGAGTTTGTTTATTCATGATGGGGTTTTAGCCCATGTAGGGCTCTCCTCCACCTCATTTCTTAAAAAGAACCAAAGTTAAACCTTCACTGTTTCCATGAGCGATGACTTAATAGCATCTTCCAGAAGCTGATTGTCTGTAAAAGGCGCAGGGGTTTCTGGGACAGATTCAGACAAGCCAATCAGAGACTCCAGAAAGCAGGTGCTCTGATCCCCAGGCTGGGACAAGCTGGGGAAGTTTGGCAGCTGAAGCTGCAGAGCAGAGAAGTTGTCCAAGTTCTCGTACTCCTTCAAGGAGTTGTAAAGAGGTCCCAGGTTGTAATCCGAGAAAGACTGGAAAAAATCCAGAGAGTCCGAGGACAGGCTCAGGTCTGTGTAACTCTTGGAATCTTGATCCACCAAGGAAGGCTGCGCACAGGAAGAGATCCCCCCACAGAGGGGCCCAGCGGAGGGCTCCCCGAGAAAGCAGCTCTCCCCCTGGTTGGCGTTCTCATCCAGGCATTCCGTGATGGTCGGCAAGTGGCTCAGCGAGCGCCCGGCGGCGTGGGTGGCGTGCTGGCTCTCCACGTCCACGCTGAAAAAGCCGGTGGGGTGGAAAGAGCTCAGGTTGTCCTGGCAGCTGCTGGCGGTGCTGCTGTCGTCCTCGGCGTCGGAATCGTTGAAGTGGAGGATCCGGGCCAGGCCGTCGTCATCCACGTCCGACTGCGACTTCTCGGATGGGGCGGCTTCGTACTGCTCCTCCAGGTCCTCGCTTTGGGCGGAGGACACTGAGGAGTCGGTCATGTCGCTGCCACAGCTGTTCTCCCCAATCGCCTCCAGGTCTGTGCTGAACTGGAAGGCTGGGGCCAGGGGCACAGCCCTCTCCTCAAAGGCCGCCTTGCCCACCGGACACCCAAGGGGATGGGGATGGGGATGGGGCCGGTCCCTGAAGGTGGGCTCCGCCGCAGGGTTCCTCTCGCCGCTCTGTTGGTTCTTCTCCAGTTCCAGCTTCATGATGGTGTGGATGAAGTGCGTTTGCACCCGGGCCTGGTTGAACTCAATTCTCCCTTCCGTGTTCCCGCAGCCATCTTTGGTGCAACCGCACGGAAACGACGTGTGATCCATCTGGGGGCAGAGACACCCGGGGTTAGCCACGCGGAAGCTCATCTCACACGCATTCCCAAGTGCTCTCTCCTTGCACCGGATGCTCAGCCAAAGAGGGCCTAGTCCCGCGGCTGAGCTATCTGAGTGGGCAGCAGGGAAGTTTCACACATGGCAATTTGTGCCCCATGGTTCACTCACACGTCATGCACAAAACAGCACTTTTGAGAGAGCGCATGTGAACCCAGCTCATGGGAAGGAGTCGTCTTGCTTTTTAAAAGAAGGCAGACAGGCCTAATTATGTGGAGTGATTCACTTATGGCCCAGAACTGACACCAAGCCAGGCTCGGCTCCAGGAAGCCACAAGCCTTTCCCGCCAACGTCGATTCAGCAGGGCGACGCGCTGCCTGGAGATGCTCCATGTGAAGGGCCGCTGCCAGACCAGCGCACGGGGCACCCAGGAGATCCCGGTTCTAGTCCCCATTCAGCCATAAAGGTCACTGGGTGATGCTAGGCCAGTTACAGATGCTCAGCCCAGCCTACCTCACAGGGTTGTTGCTGTGAGGATAAAGTGGGGCTGTGTAAGCTGCCTTGGGTTCCTCACAAGAGGAAAAAAGACGAGGTATAAATGCAGTGTCGTAATCGTCCTCTTCCTCCTCCAGGCATTTTTCTAAGTCATTCTGGCCTAGGTGGCTTAGTTCAAAGATAGGCCACCAGCTGCCCTCCAGGCATTTTGGACTACAATGCCCATGACCCCATACCCTGTGGCTCTGCTGGCTCGGGCTGAAGGGAGCTGTTAGTCAAAACATCTGGAGGGCCACCAATTGGCCACTCGTGGTCCAGAAGGTAAACAGAGATCTACATTTCAAATCAATCCCTGCAAGAGCTGAATTTGTAAAGGTTTTCCTACTGGTTCTGCAACTGGGACAAGACAGTTTAGTGGCCGCAACCAGGAGGACATTGTCCAGTAACGCCTCTGTGCATGGAGAGCACCACCTGCTTGTGCTCCTTGCCTACAGGTGTTCACTCCGCCACCGAACAAGGGGCTGAGGAAGAGGAGGGCCAGCAGGGGGCAGAGGACACGGAGTTGGAGGAAGCAACCAGAGCATCTCTCGACGCTCGCCTCAGCTCCGCCACAGACGTGCCAAGTCACACTTTAGGCACACCTGCACTTCCCTTTAGCATCACCAACTGGACCAGGGACATAATGCAGAGCGATGAGCCCCAAAGAGACCCCCCAGGGGCAGCTCGGAGCGGAGATGCCCTTGCCCTGCTCACCCTCTGCCAATGAGGGGGCCACTTCCTCGTGGAGGGGGCACCGGTGTGTCCTGCTCAGATACTCCGGTTTCCCGTTTTGCGCACGGTCCCAGCTGCGGAAGGGAGAGCCACATACCTGGCATTTGATTCCCGCCAAGCTGCAGCTGCACGTTTCCGGATCGCAGAACTCCTGGCAGTCGCAGCCGCAGTCTTCCCGGGAGAGGCGGATGCTGTGCAGCTCCCGCTTCTCCTCCTTGTCGATCTTCTTGACGCCCATGGCCTTGAGCAGAGCACGCCTCTTCTTGGCGGGGTAGGGCTGGAGGAAGAAGCCCTCCTCGGGGTCCAGGCTGCTGGCGTCGATGTCCTCTTCCGAGATGTCCTCCGTGGTAAGCTGGTTGGCCTCCTCAGACTCTTTCGTACCATTCATGGTCAACTGATTGGAAAAGGGAATGGCAGGGAAAGCTGTGTTGGTGAAGAGGCTGCACCTGAACCCTGACTCCTTCCCCAGGTAGTGACCCGACTGTGGTGCAACAGCCTTCCCCCACCTGGGGCCTTTCCAGTGTGGACTACAACTCCCAGCATGCCTTGCTGGCTGGGCTTAATGGTAGCTGAGGCCCAACATTTCTGAAGAACACCAGGCTGGGGAAGGCTATCACAGAGCGCTAGACTTAGACGAACCCATTAGATTTAGGGCAGCCTGGGACCAGGTTCCAGCTCAGCCGTGACGGCCCACACTGGGCCACTGTGCGAAAAGCAGAGGCTGAAGAGGCCTGCAGCCACGCAGTGGGCTGGCTACGTCAACCAAACGGGGGACGCTGGTTTTCCCCGCAAACGGCTCTCCTCTCTTCGCATTCCTTCCACGCTGCCTCCCTCCTGGGCTCCTGCCTCTTCCATTTTCCCACCGCAGAAGACGGGAACGGCCCCGTGCATCCTTTCCTCACCTCTCCCGCCTGCCTCCGCTCCCCCATCAAGGACCGCAGCCAGAGCCCTTTCCACTGACTGCACCCTCGAGAGCAGCCCATCGGGAGGCGGGCAGCCCATGGCCACCATCGCAACGTCGGGTACCGTGTCACAGGACCGACCGCGGAGCTGCGGGGAACGGCGACCTCCATCCATGGGCTCCTCCAGCTGTGCTGGACTACAACTCCCATGCGCTGGCCTGAGGCTTATGGGCATGGTGGTCCAACAGATCTGGAGGACACCAGGCTGGAAGAACTGCTTTACCAGTTCATGCGGATTACGAAGAGCCGCATCCTTCCTCCCACACTGAAGCCGCCTCGCCTTCGTGAAGGGCCCGTTCGCACGGCCAGATGCTACGGGGGCTGCTGGGAAGGACGCCCTGCTGGAGGCCAGGCTCCTGGTGCCCCGCAGCTGGCCCTGCCTGTGCTGGCGGCGGCCCCGCTCCGGTGATGCTTGCTCGCCACGGGCTACACCCCCAATCCGTTTAGCCACAGGCGCCGAGAGCTAGCTGCACCGGGGACCCCCAGAGCACCTCCCCACCACTCACCTTCCACTTCAAGGCCTCCAGTTTCTCCTCTTTCAGCCGCTCCTTGAGCTTCTCCCGCCGAACCGCTTCCTGCTCCTTGCAGAACTCCGCCAGTGTGAACTCCCGGGCGAAGCCGTGCCTCCTGGCCATGCCGAGGGTGCAGCCCCCGCGGCTGGGCACGCTGGTGAAGCCCTGGCAGCGCTGGAAGTAGAAGACCGTGACCCGGTCGAACTCCACGCTGTTCCGTTTCAGGCGCTTGCTCTTCTTCAGGATGGACGCCGCTGAAGAGAGAACAAGGGAGGGCGGTGAGTGCCAGGAATCGCTCCGTGCAGAGAGGTTCACAAGGCCGGCTTCCAAGAGCCTACACAGCAGGGCTCCACTCCCATGAAAGTTAGGGACTTCCTTTAAAAAACCCTCACGCATACAAAGCCAGGATTTGGGAGCTCCACAAGCGGCAGAGGTTACCCTGGGGGGGGGCTGGGGGGGCCTGTTTGCACAGGCAGAAACTGGGCCCCTCCTGCATGTTCTCTTTCTGCCGAAAAAGGCATGCAGGCAGGTTTTGTACCTCATCATCCGCACAGTGTGCTGCACACCAGAAAAAGGTGCAAGCTTGAATCCCCCACCATGGAAAACCCCAACTCTTATGCCAGAAGTACAGGACATAGGCAAAACGTTCATCCGGTTCCGGTTTTTAAAAGCTTTTTAAAGAAACTGGCAAAGGGTGAGGGGGAGTCCAAGCCAGCAGCTGGCCTCTGCACCCCAACCCACCCCCCAAAACCACGCAACACTCTGACCGCTGCAACAAGTGGTTTCTTTCACAGACGCACATGGGAAGAAGAGCACAAGGTAATTGGCAGGCTTGTCTTCCCACTCTTTGACTGTGCTCTCCAAGTGGCTCTCCAATTAATAAAATTCATTGAAAACTTTTGCAGAAGAACAAAACGAAATCAGCCAATGCTGCCACAGGGAACGGCCTCTTTTTCTGTGGATGTTCTTGGGTTTTTTGACCTGCCCTCTCTCCCAGGAACCCCCCTCCCCGGCAAACCCACTGTTGCAAGATAGTAAATACATCATCTAATGCTCCTTAGCACTCACAACAGCCCTATAAGGTAGTCCGGCATTCTTTTCATCATCCCAAAATGAAGATTAAGAAAGGATGGGGGGCACACGGGCTTGCTGAAGGGCTTCCCTGCCAAGCCCTGGGTCAGGACAAGCAAGCAGCAGCCTCCCCTAGCTCGGACTGTCCCCCAACAGGCTCCCCTGCAATGCACATGTACAGGAACTTGACGGTCCCCCAAGGCCCGCGCCAGATGCTGCCGTGTGCCTGGGCCAGCTCTTGCCCACACACACCTATGAAGCTGTGCTGCTGAGCATTCCCACACGGTAGCAGCTGCTGTGCGGGTTCGAGGGAAGCGCGTCTCCCACGAACAACTGGGGTGGGGGCCTGAAATATGCATCGCGGATTCCTGTAACTCTCTACGGGTGACATCTGTGTGCCATCAGCCAAGAGACTCAGAGGGCCTGCACAGAAATACGGAAACGCAGACACCCAAACAGTGTTCTTGCCGAAGCTTGCAGAAGAACAAGATCAGCAGCAAAACAGCTGCTTGGAGGCGGCGGAGATGGCGGCTTCTCTTGCTGCCCACTGAGAGGAACGGTGAAGCTACAGCTCTGCTCTCGGGGGGTTGATCTGAGAACAGCTGCAGTCGCCCTTCTCTGCTGCCAGGTGATCCCGGCGTAAACAGGCCAGCTCCGTGCCGCCCATGGGGTGCATTTCAGAAAAGCTTGCCATGTAACCTTGCTGCTGCCTTCGGGGGCTTCCTGCTTCTGCCCATGCAAATTTTTAAAGCTCAGGCAGATTTTTTTAAGGGGGGGTGCAGGTGGGGAGAGACACAGTGTGGCCCATAAACTGCAGGGACGAGAACACGCAGGAGCACAGATCAAAGGCGGCGCCTCATCGCCGAGATGCTCCCAGACGTGAGCACAGCCCTGCGACCGGCTTGCGGCAGGAGTTGTGTGACTCCTTCGGCCGTGCCCGCCTGAACAGCACTAAGCCAGCCCCCCCCAGAGCTGCCCGACCCCAACACAAAAGACACAAAGGGACTGCTGAGCACCAGAAAGGTGGGTTTGGGGCTGGCGCCTCAGCCAGCTCTTTGTCTCCGCTGCCCCTCTTGCTTAGCCCCACAAACGAATGTCTTGGGATTGCAGGCAGTCGCGCCTCTATGGCCTTTAGCAAAGCTGCCAGGGGCATCAGCTCCGCTCCTAGCTAAGAATTCCAAGAGAAATAGGGCAACACCTGATCTCTGGGGACCCACTCTTTCAGACAGGTGTTCTCAAGGCAGCTCACAAGAAAGCCAGGCAGATCTCCCGGGAAAGGGGGCTGCAGAGTCTAGGGTGCCACCACCAAGTAGGTTCTTGCCTCAGAAATCACCTGCACCTCAAGTGGCCATGGCAACCCAAAACGGGCCTCTGCAGAAGGCCATCGCTTCCACAGGGGCACTGCTGCTCTCCGCGAACCTTTGGAAGCCGGCCAAATGCAAACGTTGAGCCAGGGCCCTACAGAGTGGGCTGAGCCGACCTGGCTGGCTGCAGAAGGGAAGACGCAACAGAGCAAAAAGTGACAGGCGGAGCCGATAGCCTGAGCCAGGCATCCCCTGGGAGGAAAAACAGAATTCCAGACCCAGATAAGCCAGGCAACTGAAGCGGGCAGCTTCTGTGGTAAGCCACAACAACAACAAAAAGCTCGATCAGGTGTTTGTTGTGCACTGTGTCCTCTGTACTCGCTGCCCACGGGGGCGGGGGGGGCATGGAGATGCCCCGGCATCTTAAATGTCACCAAGCAAACAAAATACAAGCCGCTGTCATTGTCATAAGGGCTAGAAACATTGCTTTTAAGGTGTTCAACTGTGCCTCCACTATCAGAAGCCAACCCTGGAATTCCTGAGCTGTGTGAAGGGCAGAACGCCCACGCAAAGCTCCCAAACCAAATGCTAAAAAATGCAGCTCCGAACGGAGACATCCTGTGCCCACCCCACTTCAGGATCCACTTTCCACATTCGGGGCTGCGGATTCAGAGAACGCCATCACCAAAGTAAACTCAGCATGCCCACCAGCTGTGGCCTGGCCCCCGCTGTGGCTATGCAAATAGCATGCAAATCAGGTGCATGTAGCCAAAATATGCAGATTGGTGCACACCCAGCAACATGCGGTAGGAGTCTGCCGAGCCCTTTGTTCTAAACTATTTATTTCTATCGCACACGCCGAAGAAACCCAACGCGGCTCCGAACAGCAGAGATGGGTCACAGCATCCCTAATCCTAGCGAAATCATTTTCCTGCAAAGACAGAAACGGCTCCCCCCTCGACGATGAATAACGGCACATGCTCAGCTTCCAGCAGTTTAGCCTAAGCTGGCAATTTACTGAATTCAATTAAATGGGAGAGGCGCGGGGTCAAACCAATGTAAGTGCATCCGTGATACACATTTGTGCTGGTTTAGCTGGATCGATCTGGAATCCATTTACTTAAAATTGGCACAACTCTTCCTTATATTAAATAAATGAGGCCGAAGCCTCTCTGGGGGAGAACGGAGTGCAACAGCCACTAAGGAATCTGTGAGCAGAGGATTAAAAACGCAGCCTCTGGAGTGGCCAGATTTCCACATCCCGCCCTCCTTCCACAAAGGGCAGGTGCCAAGGCAAACGGAGACATTTAAGGTACCACCGCCTTGACCCTGCACAAAACAGAATCCGCTATCCGCAACACTCCTGGGAGAAAGCTTCAGTGATTTAAGCTGCGGCTCCATTTTCAACTTAATCCTCCATGACCCCTGCAGAAATATGGATTTAACTGTTTTTGCACATTCTGTTTCAAAGACAAGTGATCCCCCCCGCCTCTTTTTTCATGAGCTTTGCAAAAAGTTACAGGAAAAGTTGCACGAGCAAATGCAGGAGCAGCAGGTCTGGGAAGGATCCGCAGAGCAAACAGACCTGCGCGTTCCTTGCACTTTTCTCACCAAGCTCCTGGCAAAGGTGTGAGGCACAGGGACCCTGCCCCGGCCGCTGTGGGCACTCTGGAGCTCAGTTAGACAACCCCACACTGCAGGCCTCCGCGAGGGTGATATTCAACAAGGGCTCTCCCTAGACAAAAACTGCACGGCTACACTTCTCCAGGCTCCGGTAATCTGAAGTTCCGATTTCTACTGCTAGTTATACTTTCAGTGCTTTTGAGTGGTCCAGAAACTTCACCTGGGCCCAGACGAGGCTCTGTGAATGCCAGTGCTCTGATCCTCAACCTGCTTTCTGGGCCCAACTTGCAAGCACCAGTGTTCACTTTAAGGCCCTGAATGACGTTGGGCCAGGTTGCCTTAAGGATGGTGTCCTGCCGTATATACTCTGCAGGCCTTAGCACCATCTTCCAGCTGTCTGCTCAGAGCAGGGCCTTTTCTGGTGTGGCACCGCAGCGGTGGAATGAGCTTCTCAAAGAAGCTTGCCTGGGAATCTGCATTCCGTGGTCTTTTTGGTGCCACGTGGAAGCTTATTGTGCAGGCATTTTAGTGTTTCAGCTTCTATGGCTTTAAAAGATGTTGTATTTTGGTGCTAGGGTGTATTCTGGTTTTGCTTTTATGCTGTCATTTTAGATGTTTATATACACTTTGTTATGTTGTGCTTTATGGGTTTGTGGCAATATAGAAATGTCAAAAAATAAAGGAGGAAAGATTTCTGCCAGTCTGCTGGCATTTCTATCATTGATTTTGCTCAGCGATATCAAATGAAAGATTCATTCATTATCAAGATGCATACAGAAAGGAGAGAAAACAAAGCAAAGCATTTCTGCTATTGCAGGATAATTCACCCTCACTATCAATAGTAAGAAATATCAGAAAAATAATTTCCTCATCATCTTTGTTTCTGCAGTCTCCCTTCTCCCCTCCACCTACCTGCAGTGCTTTTTTCCAAGATGACTTGGAACACAGAAAGTTCATTGTTATGGCACAAAAGGCAAAGTACAAAAAGAAAGAGATCCTTTGTTGTTATCAAGACTTTCAAAGCATTTTGAGAGTGCAGCAGGTCTGCAAACGACTGCTAAGTGGACTTGAGAAGCAAAGTATTCCCAGTGGCCCCAGACAAGATATATCGATTAAAACTATTGCTCTTCCCTGGGTGAGGAGCAGATGGTATTTCTACAGGATGTTGCCCTAACAGTTCATGTCGGACTTGAGCAAAAGATGCGAAATGGGTCAGTGTCTGGAAGAATCTCTCCAGCAGTTCAGCTGAACACAGACCGAAGACATCAATGGAGCAGACTCAGCCTGTTTTGCTGAGTAAACTGAAACACCCAGAACTGGATTCTGTTTGTATCCAATCAGCCAGTTTAAGAAAATAAAAAAGATTAACCCACTGTGCCTAAGGGTAATTTGCCAGTATTTCATTGCTCACTTCAGAAACACTTTCTTGAAAAAACGAATCACTTAACTCAGATTAGACAGTCTTTGTCCTCTAGCCGAGAATGAAAAGTATTCTTGTTTACTCTCATTGGCTCAAACTCTACTGTCCTTGACTTACCATAAACCACCTCGAAGGGCAACAGATACATTTTTAAGGGTGCCAGCTTTTGCCTGTTTGGGCAGAAAGAAATCCTACAACTCCCATGGCTGGTTGACTTCTTTCTGCTTAACAGGCATAGGGCCACATCCTAAAGAAATATCCTAGTATATCCCAACAATGATGGTCCATCCAAACTGTTAGCCATACATGTAGCAGTCATGAGAAACTCAACTGCCATCCATTTTGACAAGTTTACTCCAGGCAGGACTACGTTTGGATCCAGCCCCCAGGATACTGTGGCGAGGGCCGGACTAGGCAGAGCGGGATTGTGCGCACTCTCTGCGGCTCCCTGGAGGAAAGGCAGACTTGGATGATTGAGCACGCACACAGACACTTACGGGTGAAATCGGAGGATAAGGTCAAGCTGGGCTTGATGCTTCCACCTCGGGAGTTTTCCTCGTCCGATTCCCAGCCAGAAGAAGCGGAAGACGAGGAGAAGGGTGAACAGGAGGAAGAGGAGGAGTAGGGGGTGTCATCTTCCAATTCATCGTATTTCCTCTTCAATACCCCCGTCATGGTGAGTGAGGAGGTCTCATATAACTCTGGAAGAGAGGGGGGAACAGCCATCAGTAAGTAACAGTTGGTGCCAACTTGGACAAGCCTTTTCGATAAAGCCGGTTGGAGAAGGAAACTGCAGGCTCTTTAAATGCTGCTTGAGCCCAATGCCAGCATCCACCTGGAAGTTTCCCAGCACATGCCAGCCAGGGATGATGGGACCTGCAAGCCAAGGTGTTGCGAGGGTACCAGCTTGGGTTAACCAACCACCGACCTGCTTCCATGCATGGAGGAGAGGATGCAGGTGCGTCACACGTGTTCAAGCCAGGCGGCTTGTTCAGGCATGCGCTCAACGCATGTGGGCAGCTCCCCTCTCATTGACACCTGCCTTTGCCACAAAGCTCTGAAATGCACTTTGGGGGTGCCCTGCAAGTTGCTTGGCCAGCGGGACAAAGCAGAAAGAAGTGCTCCTGCCCAAAGTGCTAAAAGACACCTTTTTCTAGAGAGGTGGCAAAGCTTTCCTCCCAAGCATATTTCCCTGCAGAATTATTCTGAACTCCCTGGTACAGAAAAGTGCTGGCAAGAATTGCAGCTGCACAATGATCCTTGATTGGCTGTTATTAAATTTTCTTTTTCTCTCTCTTTCACACACACACGGAGAATTGACAACCAACAGGACTGCGATGAGGCCCCTAACAGAGAGACAAAAGGGGAAGAGAGACCGGCCCTGTCCAACATCCCTGGCAGTTTCTAAAGCACCTGAGTATGCAAAGTGTTGCATGAGTAGCATCTCACCATGCCTCCAAAGGAGGAGGGCATTTTGATGCCCATTTCACAGATGATCCACTAAAACTGAGGGGCCGCAACAGACTTAATACAGGATTAACAACCTGGATTAACTTTTCTATCAACCCTGATGCTTTAGCTGCAGGTGCCTGACCTGGGACATTCTGAATGTGAGGCACACCTGCTGCACTAGTGCGCAATGAAGCCATGAGGGTCACTACCGAGCGTGGGAAGAAAATGGAATGGGGAACATGAAGGTCCTCCTGCAACCCTTCGCAACAGGACCAGCTGTAACCAGAAGAAAACACTGGAATTGACCACTACGGTCAAGGGACGGGTTCAGCTTGCAGAACTCCTTTCTTGAGGGCCTTTCACCAGTGATCCCTTCTTCCTTCTGAAGGCCTTGATCTACCCAGGCAATGAAGACATCTCCAGATGTTCTGGACATCAACGCCTATCAGCCCCAGCCCTCAAGGTCAAGTGCCAGGAATGCTAGAAGCTTTAATCCAAAACATCTGGGGGACATGGGCTTTGGGAAGGCTGATCCAGGAGCTTGTGTGGCTGCTCCAAGGAGAAGAGACAGGCAGCTGTGCATGGCCTGTAGTGCTGGGGAGGATGGGTGCTGAGGTTCAACACAAAGCTGCAGTGCTGCAAGTTATTTCTGGGTCCCTAAAGGGAATGCCAAAATGGTCGTTCGGAGGGGGACAGGCCAGAAGAGGCCCAAGGCACGAATCGCCCGGGTTTCGTCGGCTCACTGCTGTGCGGGCGGCGCTTTCACTTCTCCCAACGTCACCCTTGGAAAAGCTGCCAGAGGAGCAGCCGGAGGCGAGGGGGGAACCCAGCCACTCTGCAGAACCTGATCTGGAGCACCGCAGGACGCCTCACGTTCGGCTGGCAGCTGCCGGGGCTCTGCCTTTAATCCCCTCCCTTCCCACGTGGCCGCAGCATTAGCTGAGGCTAATTACGAGCGAGCGGAGAACTCCATCCAGCTGGCCTCCCCTTGCGGCGGAGGAAACCAAGCTTCTCTCAGGTGAAAGACCAGCCCTGGCAGAGCCGCTCTCAAAGTCTGTCTGGCCTTCACCACGTGCCGCTCGGCTGAGCCACCCAGACTCGGCTGAGGCGGAACCAGGCCAAAGACACCGAGCAGCGTTGCTCTGCCTCCCGTGCCCCCCCACCCCCCAGCGACCCAAGCAAGCCCAGCTTGTGGAGACCTTGCCCCGCAACGTCTTTGGAATCCATTCCAAAAACCTGAAGGCGCCTCGTGGTCCTTTGAGGCAAGGAACTGACTGGGGGAGGGGGTCTTCCAATGCCCACCGAAAAAGATTTCCTCACACCCTTTTGCAATAAATAGGAAAGACGGGTGGTCCTCCAGCCCTGCCCGCCCCCAAACCTCGCACTCTCCAGATGTGATGGACTACAATCCCTGTCATTTCCAACCAAGAATTATGGCTGGGAATGATAGAAGTTGCAGGTAAACACATGCAGGGGTCACAAGGTACGGGAAGGGTGTTTTCTGCTACCCCCAGAACAGAACAGAACAGAACAGAACAGAACAGAAGGGAGAGCAGCCGGCTTTAGCAAATATTGCTCCAAAGCAGGTGGTACTAGAAGTCCCCCAAGAGGCCGCCTCTGCAAGCGCCAGGACGCAGCTGCGCCAAAGGCCCTGCGTGGAGGCGGGGCCCCGTTGCTTGGCCCGCCCACTCACGACAGCAGGCCCCACCCCATGGCAGCACCGCACCAGCCTGGCTCTTTAGCTCAAGGGATGGACCGACATGGCGCTCGGCCCAATGCTTTGCAGGCCCAAGCAAGCCCAGCTTCCTCACTCAAAATCAGCAAAAGCGCTGCACTAGCTTCAGGAAGACAGCAGGGGCTTCCTCAGGCCATGGCTGGAGCAGCATGTCCCTAGCCCGGGGGTGAGCAACCTGCGGCTCCAGAGCCGCACGTGGCTCTTGAATCCATCGCTTGCAGCCGCTGATCCGCGCCAGCACGGCACATAAATGCAACACACTCTAGTCTTTTTATACATCGCATAAAGGTAAAAAACAATATATGCAGTGTCATTTTCATTTTAGAGGTCAAAAGACTTTTGCGGCTCCCGGTGTTTTCTTTTCTGCGGGAAACAGGTCCAAATGGCTCTTCGAGTGTTAAAGGCTGCCGACCCCTGACCTAGCCGGTCCTTCTAGCCCAGTCCTTTCTACATGGGAAGGTACTGGTTCCCCAAGGGTTTCAGGCAGGATCTTCCCCAGCCCTGCCTGGAAGAGCTGAGGATCAAACGGGACTTTCTGCACCAGGACAACTCTCTCCCCCCGATCTGGCATCCAACAAGCCAGAACGGCTGCAACCAACACTCCCCAGGGGTACTGGGGGAAGGAGAAGGGAACCTAGCCTTTTGAGGTTCACCAGCTCTTGCTTCTTGCTGTCCAGAGGAGAATTTTCCAGCAGGGTCTCTGCTCCCTCAGCCTCAAAAACATCCCTGCATTTGGTGCTCCTTACTTAACTCACTGTCTGTTTATCTGAGCCAGGATGAACACAAAAGCGATTACTCACACAGTGACTCAGACCAGAGTCCCACACACCAGTTCACCTCTCCGCCCATCCCATCCGCAACCAGCTGCAGCACAGCAGAACGGAGGGGCCTGGAGGGGGCAGCTCAGGGGGTGTCGCCTGCCTGGGCGAAAACCGGCCTCCCCTTTCAACCCTCAGGCTGGAAAAAGGATGTGAGGAAAAGATGCTCCTCACCACACCCTTGCATTTCGATGTACCGAAGATGCTGTTGTGAGGAGGTTTGCAGGTTTGCGCAAGCTGGGTGTGTGCTGCGAGTTGGACTCCAAGCTGGACTCGCCCAACTTCCCAACCTGAGGCTCTCCTTCAAAGGTAGAAAGTTTTGACCTTAAACTAGAACCATTTCTGGGTCATCTCAGGGATGTTTGCCGTTTCCATCATACGCATGCCCAGCAAAGCTCCCAAATCAAATTCGGATCTACACATGGCAGCAAAACAAGGTGGTTTAATGGACTGGTCAGTTTCAGTCTTTGTGCCAAACACGAGGGATGGAGGGAGAGAAGGTTGCAATTTTGCCATCTACCTGCCAAAGGAAACTAGCATTGTAGGGAGACAGATTCTACTGCTGTTCTCTTCTTACTGTGCCGTTTTTCTAGCTATAGACGGGCAATAGTTTTTTAAATGTTAGGAAAAAATTGACGAGAAACACCCCCATCCCTGCTTATGTTCTTAGTAGAAAAGTCCCATTCGGGTATCTCATTTTGCTGGATACGAAGATCAACATCACACTTCAGCATTCAAAATTTCCTTCTCAAGTTTTTAAAACTTTTGCACAGAAGAATGTTAAGCAGTGGAGAAACATCCCCCCGCCCCAAAGGTGGAACAGAACATCTGCTTGGTCTTCAGAAACCCACACAAAGTGCCTTCCCTGTCAACACGCATTTAAAGCCCCTGGAAGATGGCATTTGCAAGGGTTAAATGCAGGATACAGCTGCTTTTCCAAAGGCCAGCTTTCGCTGCAAGAAAAGTTAAACATTCACCAGAAGCAGGCACTACTCTGCAATTTTGCTGACCTTCGATGGTGGAAAACTTTTGTTGCATTACAAGATACAGATTAAGGCAGCAGGTTCTGCCTTCCTTCTGAATGTAACACCCATCTGTTCCACAGGGGTAAGCAAGACCTGCGCACGAGTGGACTCCAGCCACAACCTGAGAGCTGATGCAGTAGAAACCCACCTCTTTTCCTGGGCACAGAACCACCCCCCCCCCATGGGGACTCTGCCAGACCTCGCCAGCCGCTCAGATGGAAGGCTCACTGCTCAGAGCAGCCTGGCACCACCCTCAAAGCCCCAACTCTCCAGAGGTCTGGCATTTCCATCTTGCACTCGTGACACCCATTTGCCCCAGCCAGGAGAGGGGCAAACCCATCCTGTACTTTGACAGAGGACTGGCCAACCTGGTGTTCTCCAAATGCTCTGTACTACAAGTTCCATAAGCACTAGCCAGCACAACCAATGGTCAGGGATTGTGGGAGCAGCAGTCCAAAAAAGGCTGCCTATTCATTAATAGACTCTGGAGGTGGGAGGGGTGCTCCAGGGGATGGGAAAACGCAGGTAACTAGGAAGTGGCAAGAAACAAGGGAAGTTGGGGCAGTTAAAGTCTCCTCCTGCACAGGACAATCCAAAGCGTGTTTACTCTGAAGTATGTGCCAGTGCATCCAATGGGGCTTACTCCCTTGTACGGACATGCAGGATTGCAGCCTGCAGTGACTTTCTCCCAGCTGACCTGCCGCTCCCTTGGTTGCGATCCAGCTCATTACTTCCAAGAAAGGGAACAGCGGCCCCAGGTGGGCTGGCTTTCCTGGCTTTCTGGCCTCGATCCAGAGGAGCCCTGACACCTCCTGTCAGTTCCGGCACACGTTTTTAGCAGACACCTGGCTTATCCCCTTGGAAGCGGTCCATCGAGCTTTGGCAGGGCTCGTGAATCGAAAGCAGCTGGAGGCACGGTGCTCAGGGGGAAATTCCCGTGCAAGTGGAGGGCGCACGGGTGAGCTGCGCCTTTCCGGTCTGTGCCAGCAAAACAGCTGTGCCCCTTTGATGCCACTCCCCTGAAGGTGTTGCCTTGCCATGGGGTGAAGGGGCAGAAGGCAACGGTCCCCACGAGGATATAAAACACAAACCTGCCTGCCTGGCTTGAGCGGCAACCTAGGTAAATGCACAAGGCGCCTGCATGCTTTCGGAGGCCACAGCCAAGCTGACCAAGATTTGATCGGCCACACGCTCTGCGAACAAGCAAGGAGTTCATTCAGGGCAGCCCAACAGGGGAGGACTGGTGTGGCAGAAAGCAAGCCCTCCTCCTCCTCCTGCCTTGAACGGCTGCACTTTTTAAGCAGGTTTGGCTCATTTTCCTGAGCTGCACCAGGCAGGCATCATGCCCGGCACGCCTCATGGGGATTTCTCCAAGCAGGCCTCTACCACCATGCACCCCTGGGGTGGGGGTAGAAGCAAACAGGGTGCAATGCAGCAGGCAACATTCATTCCCCGCACGTTCCTTATTTCCGCACTCAGGCCTGCTCCCGACGAACGTTCAACATGCACTTGAAGAATGCACTGAAAGGACAGGACGCATGCGTGCGTGCGTGCAACACAGCACACCTGCGCATGCATGAATCATACAGGTGCGCACGTGAGGAAGCTGGCACTGGCCTTCTGCAGAGACAAATGCTGATGAGGCTTTTTGCATCTGCGTGATGTGTGAACCTCCTCTTTTGAGCTCAATTCTCAGCCAGAGAGAATGATGGCTCAGGTGTGGTCCGAAGAGTTTCATTCACAAAGGCAGCTGCACCCAGTTCAGACGTGCTCCTTCAACCAGACCTGACACTTAAGCTGGAAGGGACAAAGGCACTTTGCACGTGGTCAGACACACTCTATTAGTCCCTCCAGGTGTTCTGGGGGAGAACACAACTTCTAATGACAGCCAGGCTTTACAAGAGGGAGGGGGAGTGAGGGAGAGACAGAGAGAGTTTAAATTATTTCTGCTGAAATGGGATGAATGAGGAAAAGGGGCACTTAAGAGGGGAAAGAGCAAGTTCCATTATTTTATGATGCTGTCAATATAATATGCACAGATCAAGCCAGGCTGTATTCTTAATTAATGGGCAAAAGCTTTTAGTGTAATTTTTCTCCCCTTATTCACCCCATCCATTCCTCGGCCTATTTTCAGCTCCTGGCTTTATTGGTTTAAACTGGAATGGTGCCTAGGTAAAGTTTGCAGAGGGCAGCTTCCCACCTCAGCAAAGCGGCGGCAGAGAAGAGCAAAGCTGCAGCTCTTTCCATTACACTTCTTCTGGGGTTCTTTGCAAAGCGCAGGGTGCGGGGAGAGAATCCACAGATTCCCACCATGCAAAAACCGTAATTTATTGAACAGGGGCGGGGACCAGTTGGCTAGGCCAGTGTTCCCCAGTGGTGCACTCCAGACTGCAATTCCCATCGTTCCCAGCCAGCACGAGCCATGGTGTTGCAGTCCAACACACTGGGGGAGCTCGAGGCTGAGAAAAGCCAAACCCGCTTCTGCAGAGCAGCCGGCCATTTCTCAGCCTCAGCCGCCATCTGGAACATGCAAGCGCCGCACTATGTACAATACAGGGCCAACGTGTGA